ATTTTATTTACCATGGGCTGGGGAGGCAGGTTCCCTTGACATAGGGGAAGAGATGCAACTCCCAACCTGCTCAATATCCAAAACGCAGGTTCGTGTTCTCTAAAATTGAAGAATGAATTCTAGGAACAAAGGAGGTTCAGAGTAGGGAGAATTTGTTGAGAGAAAGACAGCTTCTAAGAGAAACAGAAGAGGGTCCAGAAAGTGGGTTGCCCACCGATCCGGCTTCTCAAAGGTGTTTTATGGGGCAAAGCCATCAGGGAGGTGGGTTCAAGGTGGGACGAAGCTATAGTCAACTGGAGAGATTGCAAGTGTAGCTGCTGAGGTAATTCTGATCCAGTGAGAAATGACACGGTGGACAAAACTAAGAGCAACCAATAAGATTGTGACAAGTACAGTCGTTTAGGTTAAATGGGGATCCGATGGGGAAGCAAGTCACGTAGCAAGTGTACAAGGACTGAGCAAGGATTTCCCATGGTAAGGGGCGGGTCAGGATCTTCCTTGGAAGATCTTGATCCCCACCCAGGTGATTGGTACCTATTTAGAATATCGATCACTACTCCTTGTCCTATATGGGTGCAGTAGTTTCTCTTCTTTTACAATGCTGGCCTTCAGTGAATGTGGCTTGATTTTCCTCCGTGTTGGCTCCTCGGGGGGCCAGCCCTGTCTAGCTGCCTACAGGGCATTTTCTAATTAACTTATCCGCAATACCCTCAAAATCTGAAGCCACCATGATGATTTTGAGGCTCTTTGTCCTTCTGTCCCCAGGAAAGGCTGTGGTGGGGGAAAGCGGGCTCCTCTGGGTGGATGGGGGTCTTTCTCCCAGGGTCTCCCTCCCAGGTGCACAATGCCACAGGACAGTGGGAGGTGGCTGCTTGGTGGCCCTGGTCCTGGCAGTTGGTGGGTGTCTCCTAAGAGCCACAGTGGAGCTGTCCCAGCCCCTGTCTGGTCTTGGGCTGGGTGAGAAGGAGGCCGCTGAGGCTTAGTCATTCTGAGAGGGCAAAAGGCCTTCAACTCTTCAACTTTCAGCTTGGGAGGTGAGTAAAATCAGGAGTTTCTTATCATCCTGTCAGAAAATTCACCACATTTGCCAAATGCAGCGACAGAAGTGGCTTTTTTGTGTAAAACAGGCAACAGTGGTATCCACACTCCGCCAGCTCAACGATACCCTCCCGTCCCCATGAGTATTTCTCTCTGTGTTCTCCTAACAAGTGCCACTCCAGGGCCACGGAGCCACCTCCCTCCGCCTTCTCTCTGCAGCTGTGGGGCGAGGGCATTGTCACCCAGCCCCGAGGCAGGGCAGGCCCTGGACCTCCAGTGAGTCGCTGCTGGGCTCCCCGTTCCGGGGGTCCTCCTGGACTCTCGGGTTTCCACCCCTCCAGTGAGCATGTTCGTCCGGATTTCCCAAGTCTTAACAATGCCACTCTCAGCAGGAGCCAGCGCAGCCAAGACTGAGTTTAAATCAACACGGTTCCAAAGTAAGATTGGCTCCCAACACAACCAGCAGGCGTTCTAGGAAGGGGAGGCGCTGCTTTCTAAGAGGGCAAGGCAGGGTCATCTAACAAAAGATCACTGTTTTTCACGTCTGTGTCCACTGTATCTTCAAGATGTGGAGAATTCACAGGAGGCATCTGAAGGAAGCTGCAAACCCAGGCTGCTCCTCCCTGACCAGGCTACTTGATCCACCCAGATTTTAAAATGGTTCCCACCAGGTGTGCTGGTGCACGCCTGTAAGCCCAACACTCTGGGAGGCTGAGGCAGGAGGATTTGGAAGTTTGAACCCAGCCTGGGTGACTTAGCAATTTAGCAAGATCCTGCCTCAAAATAAAAAAGGGCTGGAGATGTAGCTCACTGTGAAGCATCTGGGTTCAGTCCCCACCCCGCCAAAAAAAATCTAAGCCACAGAACCATTTTTTTAAAAAATATTTTTGTCCTCTTTACAGCAAAAAAACAATCTCGCATTTCCCCCACATAACAGATCTTAGAAAGCAGCAGAAGGGCAGAGCCTGTCTCGGGGGTCTGGGCGTGCACCATGGTCGCCCGCCACGGTTTGGAGAAGAGACACTGGCAGGCACAGCTGTACGGCTGGCTTCACCCCACCAGAGCACAGCTCCTGCCCGCCTCCTCCCCGTGCCACCAGTGCCGCAGACAGTGCCTCCTGGACCTGCCAGGACCTCCGCGCACCTGTGATGAGCAAGGACACCAAGCTGACTGTCTAGGAGTCTTATTTCTCAGGGAAAAGTGGGCTCCTTCACAATGAGAGGGATGGTGACCCCGAGGTGGGGAATAGACTGCTCATGACAGTGGCCCAGTGCCTCAGGCGAGCCACGTGGCTTTCTCGGACCCGGGTTTTCTGCAGAACACCTTGCTAATAAGTGATAGGTTTCCTGCACAGCTTTCAGCTTCTATACGCGGATTTCTTTTTCAGGTTAAAGGTGAAAACAAAATTTTTTTTTCTGTTGTTTACACCAACCGATGAAATTCACTAAGCCTAAGAAAGTTATAGACCTCAAACCACTTCTACGTGTTAGCTTGTCCCACAGTGGCAGTCCTGCGTGTTTATGGTCTCGTCTGTGGTCCTACTAGCCTGTGGTCGTGCCCCTCATATCTGCGAATAGACCGGCGTAAGGAAGCACTCGGAGACACCTTTGCCCATGAAACGTTCTCATACATCGACAGACCGACAGGCAGTCACCCTGCTCGTCAGCTGGATGATTTTTAAATCTTTTTCTCGGTTCACATAAACTTTATGAAAGCAGATGGCTTTCATCTCGGGCGAGCTCTTCCCAGCCTCTTGAGAGTTTCAGGCTATACCGACTGAGCCTGCCAGGCACTCAGAAGCCTTTCAGGAAGGAGACCGGGCAGAGTCGCCAGCTCCTGGCTCGGAAACTGCAAAGCAACCCAACAGCCTCTGCTGGCTTCTGAACTTTAGCATTTGACCATTACTCTCGATCTTACTCACAACCTCTCTCCTCTTGTGACATTAAAAATTAATCCTCTCTTGAACTTTTGCCCTCTGAAGTTTTGATCTCTGATGAGGTTTTTCCCTTTCCTTTGGCTTCTTTGCACTCTTTCAAAGTAACGGCAGCAGCCGCAGTGCTGATATTAGGCAGCGTGGAGTCTGCCGCACTCCCAGGCCCTGCTGGACTTCCTGGAAGCCGTCTCTGCCTCCCGTGCACTCTGGGCCCTGCACAAACCTGGGGCACTTCTTTTTTCTGTATCTTCTCTCTAGAAATACTCACCAGTGAAGAGCCATAGGGGACATCCCCAGATGAGAGGCAAGACATGGGCCACTGGAGGGGTGGGAAGGCTCAGCTGAAAATTTCTCCTGCCGCTAGAAAAAGGGTGATTTTTAAAATCACAGTGGGAAATGGTGGAAATGGTGCCCATACAGCAAACCGTTGGGCCGCACTGCATTCTGGAGCAGTTCTGGGCCATTGCCCACGCTTTCTGGTACCGCTCGGCCACGCTACCAGAGACAGAAATCATGAGTAGGCAGCCCGCTGGAGTGAGGCTTTCCTGGGACCCGGCTGCGGCCCGGTCGGTCTCCGTGGGGCGGTGTGCCGTCCCTGTACTCCATGAACCCCAAACTCTGCAGATGCACCTGCACGGAACCGCACCCACTCGGCTCCAGATGTGACACCCGGCACGTTGTAACTGCTGTGCAAATCGTTCTCTGCTCTTTTGCTTAAACAACAATGGTGAGGAAAAATATCTGTATATGTTCACCACGGACAGCTTCTAAAGTGCTTGTGGCTCCAAGATGTGGAGAGCCAACTATACACACACACGCTTCTTCTACTCCCTTGGCATAATTTCTCAAATAAATGTTTGTTTGTTTGTTGTTCCGGTGCCAGGGATCGGACTCAGGACCTTGCACTTGCAAGGCAGATGTGTTGCCAAGGAGCTAAATCCCCAGTCCCTCTCAAATACATTATTACTTTCAGATATGAATTTTTAAATTAACATTAAGTCTTTATTTTCTCTCTTAAAAGAACCGTGGCAGAGGCTGCGTGCAGCTCCGTGGTAGAGCGAGTGCTTAACATGCAGGAGGCCCTGGATTCAATTCCCACCACCCAACTCCCCACATAAAATAAGAGCAGCTGTCCGTCCTACTGTGTGGGTGAGTGACTACTAGAAACACATTGTATGACTGATACAGAGTGAACACTGTTGCATTTCAAATTTCCAAAACTCTCATTTTTCAAAAATGGAATGAATTTTTTTTCAGTTTTTTACAATATTTGTATTGTCATGTTCTGTGGGCCTGAGCCACGTTCCTTCATTTTTTCCTTCTTGTCGTTTGGAGACTGCGTTGATGTCGTCTGAGTAAACGCGTGTGAAGAGGTTCTATCTGGGGAAAATAGTCAGAGATGACGCTGGAGACGCCATCGCAGGCACAAAGGTCGGGCTTTATAGGGAGAAGCAAGAGCTCCTTAGGATGTTTGAAAGGAAAGCTCATTGGCGCCTGCGGTCTTCCTGGACACCTGGCGAGCTCCCATTGGCCGGCGGCTGCAGCAATAAAGGGACCGGCCCAGAGTCCGCGGACTAGGCGGTGTCTACAACCTGGACCCACAGGCCTTGTGTCCGGAACGGGAAGGGCTCCTGCTGCCAGCTCTCCGTGCGGCGTTCCCGGCAGCAGGCTGGTTGTACCTGAGCACCTTCCACTCCCTGGCTCCGCGTCGAAGCTGGCGGTTTTCACGGTGGCTTTGCCGGTGGAGCGGAGTGTCCTGGCGTCCCTTCTGCTGGGTGGAAGAGGAGTCCGACCAGACGTTTCGGCTCATTATGACATAGAAATGACCTCTTTGAGCAAATTAAAAAAAAAAAACCTCAGGCAGGGATGTGTTCCCGCGTACGCCTCCCCCACCGCAGCGTCCAGACTCAGGGCCCAGACGCAGGGAGCCCTGCTTCCGGTACACTCACTGTGAGGACCCTGCTTGCTTTTTCCGTCAGGAGTTTCTGTGAGGAGCAACACCTCCACCAGGCTAGAGCTCCCGGGAATCCAACCAGCCTCCTCCGGAAACCGCATCTACAACTCTTACAGGAACAAACAACAATTTGGGGCAGTAAGCGTAACAAAGGTTTGCAACTTCAAGTCAACCGTTCTTAGAATTATTTTTTAAATGATGATGCTGTTTTTGGCAGAGACAGATTCAACTTTTGGCAAAGATACTGTGAGGTCAGAGTTAAGAAGAGTCGCCCAACTTTCCACTTGGATATAAACAAGGGCACCTTCCGGCATAATTGTGTCTCTGGTTTCTCATTCTCTCAAGATTCTGGCATTTGAAAAATTAAAGGCGGGTGTGGTGGTTCACTCCTGTGATCCCAGCACTCAGGAGACTGAGGCAGGAGGGTTGCTGAGAGTCCAAGGCCAGCCTGGGCTACATAGCAAGTTCAAGGTCAGTTTGAGATACATAGCGAGACCCTGTCTCAAAAAAACAAAAAAAATAGCGCTTCCTTTATTAACTGATCATAATGATTAAATAACCAACTTGCAAATCGCAAAACATTTTTTTTCTTTACCCATCGGAAATGAAAACTGAAAGCCAACGGCTACCATAAACTGTGGTGTGGGTCTTCTACGATAGTGCTGTGTTGGCCTCAGTTCCTCACTGGTCACAAACATGTCACTTAGTGAGGGTTGCTGATCACAGGGGTGTGGAGGGCCTATGGGAAATCCCTGTATCTTTAAACTTTGCCATGAGTCTAAACTGCTCTGAAATGTAAGATCTATGTTTTTAAGTGGACTTTTCAAGTTAGGCACAGTGGTACGTGATGCTTCTAGCCTCAGCCACTCAGGAGGCTGAGGCAGGCAGATCTCTTGAGCCCAAGAGTTTGAGACCAGCCTGGGCAGCATACTTTCATCCTATTTACCCACTAACATCTCTAGCAGGTTTCTTTTCATTGTTAATTTTTACTTTTGATGTTTTAAAAGAGTTCTAGCCAAGTGGACAATTGCAGGTTGGTGTAATAGTCCGCAAAGTGACTTTCCAAGATGTAGCTTAATTTGCCTATGGAACGTCCTCTTTGCAGGGAGGGTGGAGGAGCCCCTCCGTGTGGGATTTACCCACCCACCCTTCAGCAGCTGTTCCATGAAGCTACTGTAAGCTCCCGTAGGGGAAACCTCTGTAAGGTGCCAAGTGCGTTAGACACATGGGGAAGGCATCTAGATTAGTGCTTGGTGGTGGTTGTATTTCAGAATGTCACCCACTGGTTTCGCTCAATTGCGACAGGAATCACAAATGGGCACAGTGCAGCCTTGCAGGAGTTAGCAGTCTGGGCTTCCGGCTCCGCGGCTCACCCTCCCTAGCATTTCCGCGCCGAGCATTGAGTGCCAGGGCCTCTCAGCTCTTAAGCCTCATGCTCTGGGCAGCCAGAGCTCAGAACCAGGGCTCTCCGGCGCTTTCCCGGGTCACAGCGCCCTCTTTGCCTCTCTGGACTCTTCCACGGGTCCTGCGTGTCCTCACCATCTCTGAAGACGTCTGCGACTCTCTGCAGATCTCTGCGGATCTCTCAGCTTCTCGCCGCTCTGGCACTCTCTGGAGCCCCTGGAGGGGAACAGCCCCGAGTGTCACCAGCTCTTCCTGGGTGCAGCCTGCTCAGCCCGCCCTGCCCAAGATAAAGATCAGGAGCCTCAGGCATGGCCGTGCAGCTGCTCCTCAGAGAGGAGGCACAGAGGGCTGGGGTCAGGGACAGCTTCCCGGAATCAACACCTGTCAGATGGCGGGAAGACCCTGGAGCCAGGTGCCCCAGTCACCCCAGGCTGGGAGAGGAGCCGTCCTGCCCCCTCTGGCTGGCAGAGGGGAAAGAGGTGGGGCTGGGGCTTCATCTGTCTCAAGAGGAATGGGAGTAAAGAAGTCGCTCCTAGCAGGAGGGAGGGGCTGGTGTTTTTCAGGAGAAGCAGCAGGAGAGAGAGAGAGAGAGAGAGAGAGGGAGGAGAACAGGAGCCCAGAAATCTGAAGGGGTAATGAAGGGATTGGGCCTTCACAGAGGTAGAGGATGGGCTCAGAGCTATCCTCAGACACAGGTTCTTCTGGGGAACCCATAGGGCAAGGAGAACAGGTGTGTGGGTGCTCTGGACGACAAGGTGAGAGTCGGATTCTCTTCACAGCCTCCAGTCACACTGGGTAACTGTCCTCTATCGCAAAAAGAGTGCATAATAAAGCGTGGCCGATACTCACTGTTCTGCGTCACACTAGATTTATGGGCACTGTCCCCATACCGCGGCTGAAGGTTCCTGTATGTTGTGTCTCCGTGTCCCTTGCAAGACATAGAGGCTTCTCATTTAATTTTGCCATCAGTTATCTGAAAGGGGCTTGCTCCATGGGCCTCACCAAAGCCAAGCATTCCTGCCCTGCAGAGGCCAGGAAAGGGGTCCGAGCCAGCCACAAGGGCAGCCCTCCTGCGAGCACGGCTGGGGCCCACACAGCCACCTGGACCCAAAGGAAAGAAGGGGCTAAAAATAGTGGACCAAAACCAAAAGGAACATTTCTAAGTGCTGGCAAGAGTGTTCAGAGGAAAGAGGAAGGGACAAGTTTCTCGAATGGTCCCCATCCGGGCCTCTGCGGGCCCGGAAACCTGTGCCAGGTTCCTGGTGCTGACAGAGCAGAGGTTCGTCCTGGGTTTTCCAGAGAAGCCGCCTTCCCTGAGACGAGCAAGTGAAACCGTGGCAGATGTAACAAGGGAGTTTCTATCAGGGCTCTTATTTTCTCTTTATGTCATTAAGTTATAAAGGTCATAATCGCTTACTACACCCAAACTGCAGCTGTGTATACAGGAGACATCTACAGCCCTTTTTCGCTTCACATATTTTGGCATAAAGAGTATGTTGCTCTGCCTTCCTGAATTTGTCCGTATGTCCTTTTATAAAACTTGGGTCTCCTCTGATTACTGTCCTCTCTCATGTCACTTCATATTACAGATGTGTTTTCCATATCAGTGCACACGAAGTCTTCCTCTTTTCGCAGCTGCAGGAACTTACATGTTTATCACACCATAATTTTCTTTTGTCATTGCCCCACAGAAGAGGCATTTAAAGCATCTCACATTAAAAAAAGAAAGCTGCAGCAAACCTCTGTACGTACAGCTTTGCACTTCGGTTTCTTCTTAAATTCTCGGAAGTGAAGGCAGATCGCCGGGCCAGAGGGTGTGGGCATTTTCAGTTCTGGCAATGATTTCCAGAGCGCACAGTCAACCCCTCTTCATTCTCCTACCAGAGTTGTTTAAAGCACCTCTCACCTCGCTGTCCCGGCCAACACTGAATGTTAATAACCTTCAAATATTTCCCAGCTGCTAAAGGAACGCGCTTCGAGAGGGACATCGGCACGGGACAGCAGCTTACCCTGCGAGAAGGGCAGAAGAGAAATCACACGCTGGGGTTGAAAGGAGGGGGATGTTGAGGACCAGGAAAACGTGAGAAGATGGCTGCTCGGGTGAAGAGGAGCAGGCTGACCCACAATGTAAGCGACTGAATTCAGAGGAAACGGGCAGTTATGTGACTTCTCTAGTTTGAGAGCAACCACAACAAAACTGGACAACTGGAAGACTTTAAGTTTGGAATCAACCAAGCTGAGGCTGTAACCGAGCCCTTTGGTGAGAAACATACTTCTCAGGGCTGAGTTGAGCCCAAGAAGGTCCTGACTGGAAGGAGCACGGCTGACAGGAAAGGCAGCCGATTCAAGGTCGCTGCGAGGTGGGCACCAGGCCGGAGGTGAAGTCTCGGGGAAGGAGGGCATCTGCCCGTGCTGAGGGAGCTGGTGATGCTCGGGGAGCGGCTCCCGGCTGTGACGGGCTGTGAGGAGCTGCCTCAGTCACTTTCCTGGTTGCTGGGACACAACAAGGGACGCCCCCCACTAAAAGGCAGGTTTGTTATGGCTCAGTTTGTGAAGGTTTCGGTCCATAGTTCCAAGGCGGGACAGCATGGCCGAGGGGCCTGGCAGAGGAAGCTGCTCTCAGCATGGCGGACAGGAAACAGAGGGGGAAAAGCCAAGAGGAAGTATAACCTTCCCGGCCACGCGCACAGTGACCGCTCTGACCAGACTCTGCCTGCAAACTTCAAGTCGGCTATCGGCCTCCTGACCCAATTGCCTTTCAAGAGCCCCACCTATGAGTGCGTGAGGCTCTTGAGGAGCATTTTAGTTCTAAACCATCATGGGAGCACAGAGGGTCCTGAAGAGCCCTGGAGCTGAGGCCGTGGTAGAGCAGCAGGTGGGGTCCCAATAAAGGTGCCACGTGGGTCATCCATCGGGCTTGCAACGCGGTGGATCCAGGCCATCTGAGGCAGACACAGGGCCTCAAAGATGAGCGAGTGACCAGGATGGTAGGTGTTCGTGGAAGCCAGCAGCAGTGGGGTAAGACACACAGCTTCCCTGGAGGAAGGCTTGACCTGGGTCAGTAAGGGAGGAGGCGTGAACCGCCAGCACCCTGGAGGGCATGGGTGTGGTGAGGAGCAGGGGAGAGAAGGCAACTTCCTGGAGAAAGCTGAGACTCTCAAGACCTTAAATCACAGAACGGGACTCCCACAAGGCAGAGGAAGCTGCAGCGGAAATGGTTATATTCCTATCGAGTCTGGGGACACCGACAGGAGGCGAACTGAACGGAGGGACTCGGGGATGAGGACATCAGAGAATACCTGGGAGAGCGGGGGTCTGCGTGGGCTTCCCGGGGAAGGTGTGCTGGTGTCGCACCATGGCTGTGCTGCCAGGCAGCGTGGCAGTTAGAGGAGACAGTCTGTCGTTACACAGGGACAGGGACCCTGCCCATCTGCACCTGTGTCCTCTCTCCTGTCCCGCGCTTCTGTCAGCCTTCCATAGGAGCTTGCAAAAGGCCCAGAAAGCCTCCATGCTCTCCCTCCAAAGCTGAGATTAATCGCAGTACCTGTCGGATGGTGCCACCGCGTGTTAGACATGAGGCGTGTGTTTCTGGAACGCAGAAAGTGTGTGGTAAGGGGCAGCTGGAATTACTTACGTTGTCGAAGGTTTTAAAATCTATGTCCATTCTGAAGAAGAAAATCTTCACGGCACTGTAAATGCGAAGTAAAACAACACCTACCATGAGCACATGGGCCATCTCAGCATCCAGTCAGAACCCTCTGTGTGGGCACAAGCGAGGTGCCAGGGAAACTACCTCCCTCACACGATATCCGGCAGAGAAACTCATATTGTAAGTCTCTTAAAATGCAAAACCCTTTCCAGCTTGTATATGCAGACGCTAAAGTTCACGTTGTCCTCTGGTTTACATCTGGGTCTGTTTTTAAGTAAGAATAAATCGTATCGGACAAGTATAAAGCACAGCATTTCTCTTCAGTACTCAACACTAACAGCTTTGCTTTTGTGCATGTTCACATCCAGTTACCCGCTACCGTCTTGTTTGTGGGTGACTTAAAAAAGACGACCCTGCCCTGCATCTGTACTTGATAACGGGGTCAGGTCAGTGCCCCCACTCACAGAACAAGTCCCCTGCTTAGTTTAGCTCCAGTTCTCCCATGGCGTGTCTTATCCTTGAGGGTAGCAGGAAAACCGATGTATAACTTTTCCTTGAAATGCCATCTTCAGTGGTAGCGTGGTTTGTTTTTTTTTCCCAGTCACGGTCGTTGGTCATCCTACCCACGACATGTTTGTCAATATTTTTAGCAAAGCGATGATACATTTTACAACACTGACTCCTAAGAATGGATGATAACCCATGCTTAAGCTCTTGTTAGAAATCCACATGCCAGGCTTTTTCAGGTATCCATCCTCGGTTTGCTATGCAAACCTCTGCCTCTGCCCTTTCTACCTTGCTTCCCCAGACTAACATATGATAACACCCCCCCACCGAGATTCAATTCAGGGCTCTTGCCCAAAGCTTTTCCCAAAGCTAGAGAGAGCAGTGTCACTTAGGCAGCCACAGGACATTGACGTGCCCTTCCAACTGGCTGTCTCTCCTAGCAGTCAGAAGGCTTGGGAGCAGGGTCCCCATGGCAGTTATTTTTGTCTTCCCCAACATCCAGCAGTCCCTTTAGACACCAGGTCTGTGGCTTCCAAAATGTTTTGAGATCTGCAGCATGAATGTCCGGGCTGAAGATGTAAAAACAAAAACCAAAATAGTAAATACCCCAGTTTTCATGAAATGATTTAAGAATGTAGCATTATATCAACTGGTCAATTAGAAAATAATTTGTGGTTACATAAAAACAGGAGGCAGCCAGGGATTTAGCTCAGTGGTTCTTCCGCCTGCCTCACAAGCACAAGGTCCTGAGTTCGATCCCTGGTACCAAAAAACTAAAAGAAAAACAAAACAAAAGAATAAATAATAAAAGCTAATTCCTTCTCAAACACTCAGAATTATAGGAGTTACACAGCCATTTCAAAATTACATTTAATAAAGGAAATAGGGATAGCTGAGTGTATTTGATAGCATAGGTTATACTTTCCCAGAGGAGGACCAAAATCAGCCCACAAACAGGACCCAGACACAGCAGGAAGTCACGAATGTTAAGATTCTCCTGTTTCTCCTCCACTCATGTCTGCTGGCCTCACTCAGAGCCAATGACGGCCCATCCCGGGCTGGGTGGCTCAGGTTGATCACATGAGAAAGACGCTTTCCTTGGAGGATCTGTATTAGTGGAAGACAAACCTGTGTCGCTAGCTACGAGTGACCTTTCCCTTCGCCTTCACTGTATTTCCAGGCGTTATTTATCCACACTCCACTCTGGCACTAACCTCATCGGTGGATTAATTCCTTGGTGAACTCGGAGCCGACTGTGCCATCGGGAGGTGGGCCTGGTTTAGGACGTGGGTCACTGACCTGGAAGGGCTGTTCTTCTCCCTCTGGCTGGTTGCCAGTCCTGGCTGTCACGAGGTGAGTGGCTTCCTTCCACCACACCCTTCCATCATAATGTTTCCGCCTCAGACTCAGCTGACCACGGACTGAACCCTCTCATCTGTGAGCCACGGTGAGCCTCTCCTCCCTTATGCTGGTTTTCTCAGAGTTTTGGTCCCAGTGATGAAAAGCTGACTGATATGAAGAGTTTATCTGTGTGTGTGTGTGTGTGTGTGTGTGTGTGTGTGTGTGTGTGTGATTTTTCCCTTGAAGTAACAAATGTACATCTCTGGACACTTCTGTACGTCTTCCAAGGCCATCCTCAACTCCACTGCCTTCTGAAATGCTTTCTGAGCTCTCGTCCATTCCCATGTCTGAGCCCCCTTACTACTCACTGTCGGCTTGGGGGTGATTTTGCAAGCTTACATTTGATCCTAACTTGAAACAAGGCCACCACTTTGAAAGGGATGAATCCTACCTTTCCCGTTGTTCTTTCACACTCTGTCTCACACATCTGGCTTCCCACGAACCACCGCGAGGACTGGGCTCCCGAGCTTGGCTCCAGTGTGAATGTGTATTTGGGGGTGTAAGATAAGGTTTTGGTGCTGCCGTCATCTTTACAATCGATGGACGTTTCTCATGCGCCCTATGACCGTATTCCCCACCACCAACTCTTCACATTCTTTTGAGTTAGGCTTCACTCTGATAGCTTTTGTGTTTGTTCCTTCAGGGTGTTGTTTATGTATGGAGATTTATCAACGACACTAATCTATGATTTGGGCTCATTGCCACCATCCACACCATCTTGAAGGGAGTTGTACGGTGAACTACTTCCTGGCCTGACCTCCTTTAATACACACGATCAGATTCGAGGGAACTTATTTCTCAGCACCCACCCGTACCCCACCTGTCACTAGAGGGTTTGAGATCAGCTGAATGGTCTCTCGCCAGCTGGTTCTCAAATACCAAGAAGCTCCTCTGGGGCCCTTTAATCCTGGAACTTTCTTCTTTAATGCCTTGGCTGTTTTCTTCCTTACAGCCGGGCAAGCAAAGGAAATTAGCAAGGTTTCTGATAAAGCTGAACACAGGAAGCCATACTCCAGAGTCACCTTCTTCAAGGTGTTTCCCCAAAATGATCGTCCCTAATCCCTCTCCACCTCCCATCAATACAGTGCTTCTCAAACTGCTCTTTCCCAGAAGACCTTCAGGAGTTTTTCTCTTCTCTGATCTCACCTGTGCTGTCTTTGACGCACTGCTATGTTTACTTAAGTGAAGCATCAACCCGCCTACCTCAGCCCACGATCGATGGGGTGGGACAGCTGAGGTGCTCTGAGCCCCTCTCCTCCTTCCCTAAGACTCGGTGTCATAGTCACAGAACCTCACACAGATCAGGGGCTCTGTCAGAACGGCAGAAAGAGAACTTGCCTACATTCCTAAGAATGCCTAGCTCACACCAACCTCAGAACTGGCAGGCTTAGCACTGTAACTGAGAACTGAGCTTCACTTCTTTATGCCGAACTATGCTGAAAATATTAAATGGCTTTGTGTGCCTCTAAATTCATTCTCATCCTATCTCTCTCTCCTCTCAAGACTCTCAGACTCTCTGTACTGAAGTAGGGTGGAGCTGTTCTCTCTTCCACTTTGAGCTGTTTGTTTTGGTGACCAACCCAAGCACAAGTAAACAACCTCAAACACAAGTTCAGCTTTTTCATGAGCCAAATTCATTACTTGAAGACTGAAACTACACGTTCCTATTTGCCGACACTATTTAGATAGTTTAGGTAATGACATTCAATGCTGCTGGGCAGACTGGCTGTGAAATTACAACCTCCTCAGTACAATTTTAAATTAGAGTTTTACATTAAAATAATCAGTCGATACATTTTTTTTTTTTGCAGGACAATTTTTAAAATTCCCCAAGCCACAAACATTTTCACAGATGAAGTCAGTGCACTCTTCACTCTTCCCTTTAGTCCTCCCCCCACCCTGTCAACACGTGGGGTGCACAGGGGCTTGCCTGCCGCGAGCACGCTGAAGTCTCCTCGGCAGTGCAAACCAATGAACGACTTCGTTTACTTCCCTACGTGTCATAAGCATCGTGATGAAATCCCTTCCCTCTCTAGTAAAGCAACCTTGTCATTCTGTGAACACAACCAATGTCTCCAGAAAGAAGAATTAGTCAAGCACCCTGAGGATTCACTGCGGGAGTGGAAACCAGGGTGTCCAGTCCCAGGCAGGCCCGAAATCATGGCGACTCTGGTGGTGGAATTTGGCACAACCTGGCTGGCGCAAATGAAAGAGGTGGCAGGAGGAGAGGAGAATGTAACCACTGAGCTCAAGAGAACCCACCCTGGGCACCCGTCAGGGGACAGGGACCACGTCCAGTGCTGCTGGGCCCCAAGGGGAAGCTGGACGTCCAGTCCAGACACATGGCCACTCTGACACCTTTCCTTGTCTCAGAACAGCCATAGAGCTCTTACTGACTTGGAAATTCTCCACTTTAATTATTTCCATCTTACCGCATTAACCATTTGGCTCATGAGCATGTTTTCACTGCTGCTCCTCTTTCGGAAATACCATTTTAACAGTGACCTGTATTCAAAATCGTGTGCCCGCTACCACTTTGATCTAGCAGTAAAAGTTTCAAGTTTATCTCCAAAAGGTACTGCTAAGCTGTGTACACAATTTGGTATATTATTTTGAATAAAATGGTGGTGGCAAGAAAATGAAAAGAAAAATGAAATTCTCGAAACCAGAATGTGATTTAGCACCCGCCAGATCAGAATAGGTCACACCTGCCTTCCGGTTTTGCTGTTGAAAACAAGTTGGTATTGGCTTCCTCCCAGTCAAGCTCCACCTCCCCCAGCCCCAGCCCCAGCCCTGGAGGTCTCAGACACCTGCTGGGGTCTCCCAATCCACAGGAAGGCAGAACCAGGTCCCTAAAAGCCTCTCCACATCTAAAAAGCACCCAATTGTGTGATCCGTTTAAAATTGCATTTGGCAATGCCCCAAATCAACACAAACCTAAACGTTACCTAAAATTAGCTTTTCTGTGCATGCTTCAGGGCCAGAGCCAGGTAATTGCTCTGTTTTAGGTCCCCGCTCTCAGCAGGCGGTAGCTGTCTGTGCGCTTGTCAACCAGTGCGCTTGGCTACCCGCGCCGTTCACTGTTCACGGTGTATTTTGCCCATGAGAGAACTCTCTAGGTTGCAACAATCTCTCTCTCCTAGCACCTCTGACTTTTTCAGGACTGTGTTCTCTGAAGAGTGATCTAACACTGAACATGGTGGCGCACGCCTTTGATCCCAGTACTGGAGCTGAGGCAGGAGGATCGCCGTGAGCTTGAGACCAGCCCAGGTTACAGAGTAGGTTCAAGGTCAGCCTAAACTAGACAGTGAGACTGTCTCCCCGCCCCGCGCCCCCCCCTCCAAAAAAAAGGGGAAAAAAATAGGGTCTGTTCCCTCCCCAAACCGTGACAAAACCTAAAGAGCCTGACCACCCACGCTGGACCTGGTGAACCAGTTTCCCAGGATGAAGCCAAAGGTATTATTCATTCAACATAAGTCATAGTCACAGGATCAATAGTGATCCCCGGGCATGCATGTTTTTTAAAAAATTCGTGGCTCTTTGTGCAAACCAATGTTTTTGCAACTTTCTTTTCAGTTAAAAGTGTTACGTTAAAGGTTTTTTACAGCAATATCAGAGAAAATAATTATAACACAAGGAGAGGCAACGTGGGAGGGCTGGTGCGGGCAGCCTGCCTCAACCATTTGCAAACCCAGAAACAGCTGCAGGAAAGTTAGTCCGAGCCGCCCCACGTGGAGGGAGGTCTCTGAGAGGGCTGGAATTCGCCCCGACCGCCACGGTACGAGGAGGAGGCCCCGGCACCAGCAGGGCGGACCCCGGAGCCCCCGGAGCCCCCGGGAGCGCAGGAGAATGGGGGGACGGGTCCCAGACGGCCCCGCCTCTCCCGTTACCGTTGGCAACGGCAGTCGGCTCCCAAGGTGAGCGTGGCGCTAAAAGGCGGGACTTCCGGCTATAGAAACTAATGAGCACGCGGCGGTCGGCCCGTCACACAGCGCTTCCTGTCGCGTGATCTTAAGAACCAATCAGAGTGCGTAACTGCGGGCCCACGTGCCTCCGTTCCCATTAGCAACCCGAGGCTTCTAAACAGCCTCCGTTCCTTTCAACTGTCAGCGGCCAGGCCGCGGTTGGTGATCTCGGGCTGGGCACGTCCCCGCCTGCCCTCGCTAGCTCCGTTAGGCTTTTGGTTCCCGCTCGCTGCCATGGTGAGTAGCGGCCGCGCTGGCGCGGAGGCGAGGGCTGCGGCGGGGGCTGGAGACGCTGCGCGGTGGGTCCGGAGAAGGAGGCCTGGTCTCTACTCCCTGACTACTTATAATATACTGGCAACTGTTTTTCTTGACAGCAGTTGCTCCTGTCTGTTTCCATTAGGGCGACGCCCTCCTATTAGCCTCGCTCTACTTTGTCCCAACGTCCCTTCGTCCCCGTGCGGCCTGGAAGTGTCACGACCAGGTCACAGCGGGCAGGCGGCGCTGGTGATGAGATCGGGACGCCGCAAAGAGTTCGAACTCTTTTTCTAAAAAGCTCCAAGTTTGCCCTCACACGCGCGCGCTCTCACATTCCTTTCACCGAGTGGACAGTTAAGGGTCGAAGGGAGAACACGTCCAACTTTCCGTGTGAAATTGGTTGAACCCAACTTTCTGTCGTGGAACTTTTTAACATGTAAGAATCCAAGCTTTGCGGTTGAGGCAATTTGGGTGATATGTCCTTTGTTTTGGCCTGAACGAAAAAGAGCACTGAGCTAAGGAGTGTAGCTCTGTGGTAGAACTCAGGGTCAGCATGATGGAGGTCTTAGGTTGGATCCCTAGCGCCAAAAAATAAAAAGACCGTTAATTCCTCCAGCAGATATAGCATGCCAATTTAAGTAGCAATTATACATAAAACAGTGAAAAATACTGGAGCCCAAGTATTCAAGACAAAAAAAGAATGAGACTGGGTGTGAGAGAGCCACTAATGCCTCCTGAAACACTTCAGCAATTCGAATTCTTCTTTAGTCCCCACTGTGTTCTAAATACTGTCTCAAAGCTGAGACTATGTCACTGCATTAAATAGACTGGGGGGGAAAAGCATTCCTTACTTTTGCCAGGCCATTTTCAAAACTCCTGACCAAAGCTATCCTCAGCCTCATGAGTAGCTAAGATGACAGGCAGGTGCCAGGATGCCCTGCTCAAAAAATTGTCTCAAAATTTTTTTTTATGTGCTTTCAGTGCCGGAGATTATGGCCCTGCCATTTTCCCACTGAGCTACACTTCCAGCTTCTCCCCTCCTGAGCTTAGAGACTGCTCTACTCCTCATGATCACCCTAAAATATGACAGGGATGAGTTGATGAAAGGATGATGGTGAGGTCACAAAAGAGAGTGACACCTGTTTGCGTTCTGTCTTCTGTCACCTTCCATCAACTGAGGCTTCGGATTCACACTTAGGTTTTCATTTAGTAAAATGCGGATAGTTACACCACGGGCTTCACAATGAGAAATGACATCACGCGTGGACAGTGAGTAGCATGGTACCGGCCCAAATGTTAGTGCCTGCCCCGCCCTTCACCTGCTGTCTCAAAGCACTCTTCTGGTTTGAAATAAAAGTCCAACTGGTGGCTATTTCCAAATAAAATACACTTTTTGAAGTTGTATCTGGTGGAATACAGTTAAGTTGCTGTGGTAGAGACCGAAAACCTAATGGCTTCAAGGATACAGAAGTCCATTTCTCATTTAGCAGCCTCGTCACAGCTCGTTTCAGCTTGCCACGTGGCTCAGTGCTGCCCCCGTGAGGTGGGGCCGTGGGGCCCTGCATCTCTCCATTGTCCGCCACCTGGCGTTGATGCTGTTTGCTGTGCCAGGTGTCAGACAAACAGGTCTGTAGCAAGGGTGAATCCCGTGTTTCGAGGCCTAGGCTCTGGAAATATCCCGCATTCTCTTCTGTTCACATCGGTTCCTGAGAAGTGCAGGAGTCCGGTGACTGGGAAGCACCATGTACTGGGCAGCCCCGCAGCCAGAAGGAAGGGAGAACAGAGTTCACCTGACATCTAGCAGCCTCCGTGACAAGATGTCCTGTATATTTTATTTTTGATTCTTTTATCAAATCTTGAAGACTAACAAATTCTCCTTTTCAGGCAGAACTGGGCCTAAATGAACACCATCAAAATGAAGTTATTAATTATATGCGTTTTGCTCGTTCCAAGAGGGGCCTGAGACTCAAAACTGTGGATTCCTGCTTCCAAGACCTCAAGGAGAGCAGGTATGGGGGTTTGGAAGTGGAAGGAAAGCGGTCCCTGGGAGCTGGCTTGGGCTGCGGGCAGAAGCATGGCAGCCCTTTTCCGGGCTCCTCACCGAGGCCATCCACACCACGCTCCACGCGATGTGAAATCCAGGCCCTGGCTCGCCCGCGGATCTCTATCAGGCGTGTGTGTGTGTGTGTGTTGCTAGTCACGAGATGGCAGAGTTACAGACAGGTACTCAGGGAATTACATGGGGCTTGCGGAGCAAAGCCAGAGAGTGCCCAACTACAATTGAGTTACTCCTTGAGAGGCTAGAACATGGGACACAGCAGTGGCAGGAAAATACCTGTGCCATTCATCCTGAAGGATTAGAGAGGAAAAACGGCAACCGTGAATAACGTGCTGCCGTCCCAGACTGACATTTGATCTGAGGCCTTCGGAAGAGGGCAGTGAGTTCCGTGGGACCAGCAATGGGCTGTAGTTAGGCGTCAGGTCAGTGTGAGAGCCGCAGCTGTCAGAGAGCCCTCAGCTCCGCCAGGAGCAGAGGACCTCGGCCTTCCATTGCCATCTGTGCAGCTGATGAAACAGCTGCTTTTCTAGTTCCCAGCAGATGAGGGCCACAAGTTGAATGGCAAGAATCTCGTGTATTCTACTAAAGAGTATAGAGCAGTATTAATGCATGTTCGAAAGGCTTTTGTAAAAGCTAACTGTAGGGATTTTATGCGAGGCTCCGTGCTCCTGGCCACATCAGAGTTAAAGGAGCTGTGGATCAAACATCATTAACTTGACCGTGAAGGTTCGGGGACTCCAAGCAGCTGAATCTTGCTCAGTCCCGTGGGTTTGCCAGAGAGGACGGAGTCTGGGCCCCGGCCTGCGCAGGGTGGGGTGGGGCAGGCTGTCTCCAGGGGCCGCTAGGGCTGTCGCAGTAGGCGGGAGGTGCACACAGCAGCTGTGTGGAGGACTTGGCTGCTGGGGTGGTCGCCGGCCGGGTCGCCTCCGTCTTCCCTGTCCTCGTTCCATCCCCGTTAGGGGACAGGAGGAGACAGCGGGGCCCTCTTTTCTTTAGGGTCCTGTGGATGCGAAGAAAGACAATTTGTACTCGTTTATTTCTCATCAGCAGTCACCAGCATGTGACCAGTTCATACAGTGACTAAAATGCTAGAGCAGCAAGAGGAAAACAGGGATGTGGTGGCACAAGCCTGTAGTCCCAGTATTCTGGGAGGCTGAGGCAGGAGGATCGAAACTTGAAGCCCAGCTCCAGCAACTTAGTGAGACTCTACCTCAGCATAAAAAAGGGCTGGGGACGTAACTGGAGGAAAGGCCCTGCCCCGAGGTTCAGTCCCCTGTGCCACCAAAAAAAGGAGAAACTATAACTTCCACTGTGTGTTTTGAGGTTTCAGATTATTAAGTGTGGTAAAACTAATTTTCGTGGAGACTGAAGTAAAAACCGTATGATACTAAAAAATTAAAAATAGACGATGGTGGGCCGGGGATTTAGCTCAGCAGTTCCGCCGCACCCCCTGGTGCTGATGCGCCGCGTCCGTCCTGCAGGCTGGCGGAGGGGACCTTCACGGCGGACGAGGTGGCGGAGGTGCTGAGCGGGCTGCGGGCCGTGGTGCACAGCGAGGTGGAGTCCGAGCTCATCCACACGGCGCGCACCAACGCGCTGCTGCTGCGCCAGCTCTTCGCGCAGGCGGAGCACTGGTACCTCAAGCTGCGGACCGACGTCTCCGAGCTGGAGAACAGGTGATGCGGCCCGGGTCTCGGTCTCCTTCCGCTCTCGCGCTCCTTCCAGGGCCCGCTGGTCGGGGTCGGTGTAGCTCCTCAGAGATAGGTCAGGAGGACGTGAAGATTATCAGCGTTGCAGACCGATGCACACACGAGAAGTGCCATAGATCCAGACTAGCAGCCTGAGAAACTGATTTTAAGTCATTGTTTCTAGAGCATGCAGTTACTGTATAGTTGGAAACAAAATATTAAAGAGTTTATAACCGGAGCATCTAAGAGCTTACAAATTTCAAAAGCTGTGGTAAAATCCATAAAGTTGCAACCGATTCCAAGACAGGGCGTGTGGGAAATCAGCGAAGTGGGAGCACAGCCGCACGCTGCTTCCTGCAGGTGGGGCGGGGTCCCCTGCCTTACTGCAGCATCAGCCAGTGGCTGTGACAAAACTCTTGAGAAGCTGATTTTGTTTAATTTGGGTTTTTGTTGCTGCTTGTTCTGTTTTGTTGAGAGGGGTCTCACAGTGTAGTAGCACTCACTATATGTATCACTTACAGCGATCCTCCTGCCTCAGCCTCCCCAGTGCTGGGATGGCAGGCGTGTGCCACCACACCCGGCTGAGAAGTCAATCTGAGAAGTTCAGACACCTCATGGGCAAGCACACGCACAGTCAGTCAGCTCTCCGTTTATCTGAAGGGCCCCAGCCCGCACGGCCCATCTTTCTTGGGGACGCCTGAGGCTGTTTTCCGTAGACATTGTGCACTGCTGGTGTTTTCTGGGCTGTTCCACTCAGCTTGTCCCTCTCAGCCTTCAGGGGTGCTGAGTGACAGCAATCTCGTGGCGCCTCGGAAGTGAGACAGAAGCGCGCGTGTCACTGAATTTGCGCTTGTGCCGACAGTTACTGTGCTGTCTGCAGGGACCCCAGCAAGCAGGTCCTGGGCTTTGCCACCAGTCACTGTGTTTAACATTTGAAGCTTGGAGCGGCTCTTGCTCCTCCCCTCACACAGGATAGGTTCAGACTGTGGCTTTATTCTTTGTTTGCTTGTTTGTTTTTGCTTTTTGAGACAGGGTCTCACTATATAGTTGAGACTGACCTGGAACTCACTATGTAGCCCAGGCTGGTCTTGAACTCACAGCGATCCTCCTGCCTCAGCCTCCCCAGTGCTGGGATTACAGGCGTGCGCCACCACGCCCAGGTCCATGGCTTTATTCTTTTGTGTGATACAGATCTGTTTTAAATGAGTGTTTCTTTTGCATTTGCTTTCATCTTCAAGAGAATTATTAGAGCAAGTTGCAGAATTTGAAAAAGCGGAGTTTACAACTTCAAGGAAAAAGGTAATTTGGGGTCCTCCTAAGCCCATGCTTCTTAATGGTCAGCATTGGAGGGACAGGGGGAGTTCTCAAGAAGGAGCCCTGCCCTGGAGGAGCTTGAGGCAGAAGACAATTTCAGGGAGTAACAGAAACCTGGCTTTGTCTGTTAGGACTACACGCACGCACGCATATACACACACATGCACGCGCATGCGCGCGCACACACACACACACACACACACACAGCCCCTGCAGTGCCGTGGAATCCCAGCCTGGCCGCTCTTCCTCAGGGGAAGCAGAAAGCAGGCTTTGGGACAATCCCACTGCACGCGCAAGCTGGGTCGAGCTGCGTTTGCCTCGTTCCCTCTTTTTTCCTCCTGGGTGTGGAACGCAGCAGTCTCCCACTGGGCCACAGTCCCACCCTTTTATTTCTTTGCTTTTGAGGCAGAGTCTCCCTGGGTTGCCCAAGCTGACCTCCAACTCCAATCCTCAGCAGGAAGTAGGTCCGGTTCTTCCCTTGGGGCGTATTTCTGGGCCAGTAGGTGTGGTTCCTTGATTTTTGAATCCGGGTCACTGAACAGGCGGAATCTTCACGCTTTTCTCTGTAACTGCCCAAGTAGTGGGCAGTGCTGTTAGCCTTTGCAGTCCGAGGTCCTGCAGAAATCTTTCAGCGCCCGCAGGTGAAAACTCCAGGCCTGGATATAGGGGTCTCTGTTGTGGCTGCCTCAAGCGCCCCCCCGTCCCTCCCCACCTTTTTCCTTCCATCTGTTTTTAGAAGGCGCGGGCCAGGTGGGTCTCACCTTAGCTTTAGTCTGCGTCGGGCACAGGAGCCAGGACGCACTGGGCCTGGGGACAGACAGGTGGGAGCCTGGTGCCCTGGGCCCGGGACGGCCGAGAGGGAGCCCGGTCCATCGCCCTGGCCAGGCGGCAGCGCCCACCACGTGAAAAGCTCTGCTGCTCGGCGCTGACTGCACTGGTTTCTTTATTTTGTCTCAGCCCATCATAGACACTGCCAAGCCGAAACTTGTTCCTCTGAACGAAGGTGGAACAGCTGAGCTCCTGAACAAGGTGCAGTGCGGGTGGGCTTCCCTTGGAGAGCGCTGGTTCTGGCCTCCTGTGGCTTGAAGGACCCTGGGGAGGAGTTGAGTCCGGCTTTGGTCCCCGGAGTCTCAATGGTGCCCGGTGGCCAGCAGAGGGCGCGCTGGCCTTCCTGACCCAGGGGAAGGGAAGCCGTAGGGTTCTGGCCAGATTTTATTAAAGTCAGAGCCATAAGAATGAGCTTTTCATAAGTCTGTAAAAGTTATCCATCTATCGTTACTTTTATGACTCCCGTATTCTTGCACAGATCTCGGTAGGGAGGGAAGGCTGGGTAGCACCTGGTCCCTGCCTCAGACACCTGAGGGTTTCACCAGGAAGGGAGCTGATGTTCTGGGAACAGGGACGGGGCGCGCGGCCCACGAGGGGCAGCCAGTGCCAGCAGACGCACCAGCCTGGCAGGGACGCCGTCCCACGAAGGGCAGGGCGCAGAGTGGTCAGTGGGGAGATGCTAGTGGATAGGGAAGGGGCAACCAGAGGACACAGTGGACGTTTACCTTGCTTTCTAAATTCTGTCACGTCAGAGACACGTGGCCACGAATCCCCTCAGATCCTCCTCTCCTCTTCAGACGTATTGATAGCATCGTCCTCGCCGCTCTCTGCGACAGCTCTGCAGTCCTCTTTCCCGAGTGTCTTTACAAGCTGTGACCAAAACTGCGGTGACTGCCACTGCCAAGCGCCAACAGAGAGGCAGCTCTTAAAAACATGGCGCTGTGTCCTCATCCTCCGGAGTCACCGGACCTGGCACCGTGTGACTCCTGGTCCTTCTCCAAAGTCAGGATGACCGTGAAAGGTCGTTTTGAATCGATTCGGGACATCGAGGAGCCAGGACAGCACAACTAAAGGCCCTCAGGAAAGAGGACGCCAGAGCTGCTGCAGGAAGTGGGGACAACGACGGGACGAGTGTGTTTGAGCAGGAGTTCGAGGGGCATTCGTGGCAGTGTGTGTCTTAGGAAACTTTTTAAGAATTTAAACACAGGCTTTAGTTCTCAGCCCCACCCTAGGTACAGTGAGCCTGGTGGGAGAGAAGATTGAACTGGTGGCTCTCGGGTGAGAGCTGTGGAAAGCGAGGCTGTGGGGTCTCAGCTGGGTCAGAACCATTTGGGGGCTCGAAAACAGCTGGCAGGGCCGAAGGGCCGGTGTGCGAGGCGGGGAGCAGGAGCTGGAGGCTCGAGCCAAAGCCAGCCCGGGTGTGAGGCGGTGGGCTGGGCGCGCCTGGGGCATTGCCAGTAACCCAGGTGTGTGGGCTTTGAACCATCGCATGACTCCTGTTACACTGTAAGTGAATCAAGTCATAATTTCAAGCACTAAAAATATTTTGGTTAAAATAATAAATCTTGAATTTACTCACAAAGGAAATTTTAAGACTTCAAGAAGAGAATGAGAAACTGAAGTCAAGACTGAAGGCAGTTGAAACACAGGTGAGTGAGATGCCCTGTAACAAACTCCGAGCCGCCAGCAGAGCAGGCCCTGAACGCCTGCCGCTTTCTTCCGCCTGGTTCTTGTAGGCTACAAACGCCTTGGACGAGAAGGCAAAGCTGGAACGAGCACTGCAGGATTTACAGCTGGACAAGGGGAAGCGAGAGGTGAACCTGTTTCCATCTTGTCTTTTCTAAATAGAATAAGGTTACGGCTGGTTAAGGCTGGAGCTTTAGCTCCGTGGTGCCGCCACCGGCCTCGCGAGCACAAGGTCCTGAGCTCGAGCCCGGTACCAAAAAATAACAATGATGATAATAAGGTCACAGGGGTGAGACTTGGTCTGCGCCGCTGTCCACCGTTCCCACCCAGCAGTCCCCGCACAGTGCCCGGGCCCTGAGCACAGAGGCCAGGGAGGACCCGCATGCAGGCAGAGGCTTGTCTGGGCATGGGTTGGAATATGCGGGGCCTTGCCCTGTTCCCTTTGACGTGCAGTCACGGTGGAGAAATGCAAAGGGACAGGCTTTTAGCTAACCGGAATCACATCCGGGCTGCACGGTGGTGAACACTGCGGAGGATTGTCCCGGATGAGTGACACATGGAGTCATCACACTCCCCTGTGCCCCGCGCCCTGAGTAGTATGATGAGATGAGCCAGGCTTGTTCTTAACGAAGGCCTCTTAATGGAAGGGACCCAGGAAGCTGAGGCAGGCCGGTCTCCTGCAGCTTTTCCGGGGGTTGTATTGTCAGTGTCTACTCAGCAGACCCAAAGTCTGCTTCCATTGGACTTTGTTGAACTTTTTCTATGAAAATCATAAACAGAGCAGGGTGGAGAGGCCGGTACAGGGTCCCTTTGGGGCCCCCATCCTCCACCTGGCCAGTCTGGCTTTGCCTCCACCTCCTTCAGCTTCTTCCTCCGTGTCTTCTGGACACGAATCTCAGACATTGCATTGTTTCCTCTGTGGGCCTCTTTCAATTAGGAGGATCTATCTTATGTGACGCAAAGAGGAAAATATGTACGATTTTCAAATACAGTGGACCCCTGACTTACGAACTTAGTTTGTTCCCCAGGGCTGGTTGTAACTCAGGTTGACTGGTTGAGGCTCAGGCTTCTCTGCACGGCCTTCCGAGTCTCTCTCCGGTGTACGGGCAGAGCTCAGGGTCCTTGGAGAGACCCTGGCCCAGGCTTTCTCGGTGGACCCCACAGGAAAGGATGCAGTCACGTTCCTTCCAGAGCTCTGTAAGGGGTAGATCTGTATCCGAGACCCTCGGGGAGCACACAGGGGCAGCATGCGGGTCGTGACTCAAGACCTTGGTCGCAAGTTAAAACTAAAATTCCAGTCATAACCCAAGGGGTTTTTCTGTCAGGCTGACTTGAGGGTCTGCTGTACACCAGGAACCATAGATTTATAAGCTAGAAAGCTGGGCCTTCCAGAACAGCTCTCTAAATTGTCAAAAGTACAGCCACAAACATTTTCAGTTGATGAATTTGTTTAAAAGTCACTTGGGGCTTAGCTTCCATTTTAGTTTTAAGATTTTTGGATACCGAAATTGAAGAGTGATACAAAGGAAACAGGGAGGCAGACTTTTAGAGGAAGGGGCAGGGAAGTAAAAGGATCAAAAGGACCAGGAAACTGTGTCTGCGTCCCAGTTCTCCCAAACCAGCGTGACGATTGGGTATCACAAACATACACTAGCAAGTTAGAGCTGGAGCTGGGCGTGGCGGCACCCGCCTACGGTCTAGCGGTCTAGCACACGAGAGGCTCTCCCGGAGCTCAAGGCCATTCTGGGCTATGTAGTGAGACCCTGTCCCCGAAAACCAACAGTGAAAAGAAGAGCCGGGCAATGAGCTCCACGGTTTTAGTATAAAGTCCCGTGGTGCTCGGACAGCCGCCCTAGAGAGCAGCTCCCCTGCTGACAGCCACGGCCAGTGCGTTTCCTTCTGCCCGGGAAGAGCTGCCGGACCCACGCTGCGTTAGTTACAGGGGAGGGGACATCGCCTCTCACAGACAGAGTTCCCCGTGATACTCACCATGCCGTTTGATTAAACATCTAAAAAGAAACTCCAGTTAGGAGAAGCGGGCACGGGGGAGGCGCCGCTGTCGGGCCGCCTGCACGATGAGGCGTTGAGGCGCTAGGAGGGCGCTGGCCCTTTCGGAACCCCGACCCCGGGTGGGCAGTGCAGCCTCCGCACCTTGTAAACCCAGGCCTCATGAGGATGTGTTGTTTTCGTTACCTAGAATCCTAGCAGACTCGATTATCTAGAGAGTGCTCCAGGGTCTCCAGGAGCCGCACACAGCCATGGGGCTCCTGTGGCTCACATCCTGTGCTGGGGAGGGAGCCTGGGTCCAGAAGATCAGCAGAGAAGGCTCTAGGGATCGTTAGCTGTTTGCCCCGGTACCCTCAGACGGCCTGAAGCCAGGGTGCCTCAGAGATACGCTGGATCCCAGCTGCCTCTCGGGGCCTCTGACAGCCGTCTGTGTGGATTCACCACTGAAGCCTAAGTGCAAAATGCCAAATTCTTCTGAAAACTTCCAGGTGTTTCACTGTATCCCCTATAGTTTTTTAATTTTGTTCTAAATGAATATATTTCATATTTGAAAAATACATATTTGATGTGCTCAGTGATTCTTTAGGTTGACTGTAACCACTGTTTCCAAGCATCTGTTAGTTCCTTCAAGATCTGGGGCACAAAAGCAGAGCAGACACGTGCTTTTATTAATTACAATGAAATAAGGCTTTTTAAAGACTAAACTTCAAAGATGAGCAGGGCTGGGTGTGGTGGCGCACACCTGTAATACCAGTACTCAGGAGGCTGAGGCAGGAGGATCTTTGCAAGTTTGAGACCAGCCGGAACTACCTCGTGAGACCCTGTCTCTAAAATACAAAAAGTATGAGTAGGAATTTTTGTTGAAAAAGGCTGTCCCATCTACATATTTAGCAATTATAGACCATTTTCTTGTCTTAGCAATACGAATCTTTTTTTCTGTCCTGAATTTTATCAGTCAAAACCCAAGATCTGGAGGGAAATCTCAGGCCACAGATAAACTAGGCAGAACTGTACACAGCTCCCTGGACGGGGGTTACCATCCTGGTGTCATTCCCCAGTGGGCCAGCAGGTAATTACGGTCCTGTTTGCATCCCACAGGACTCAATAAAAGCACAAGACTTGAGCGACTTGGAAATCACGGTGGCGGCTCTGAAGAGCGAGTTTGAGAAGACGCTGCGTGACAAGACGGAGAGCGAGAAGTCCCTGGAGGAGCACCTGGCCACGGCCAAGCATGAGCTGCTCCGGGTGCAGGGGCAGCTGGGCCTGGCGGAGAAGGTCAGGGCCTCGGTAACCCGAGAGCCGCGCCCAGGCCGAGGGGTGGGCGGCCCTTTCTCTTGAGATTCCTATCCCTTTTTTATAATTTACGCAAAAACCCATGGCGAGCGAGCTTGTTCCTGTAGGGCTGAGACTTCAAAGCCTACGGGGCCAATGTGTGATTTCAGTGTCGCTCCTGACTCTACTTTGGGACTTGGAAGAAGACTGTGCTCATTGACTTGGAAATCAGTTTCTGTTGCAAACTGACCTCCCAGGTCTAGGCTTTACTCTGCTTGAGTCGTTAGTATTGTACCTGGGGAGATATTACTGTTTCACTGGCTTCTCACTTGAAATGATATTTTTCCATTTAAGTAGACTTAATTTTATGAAAGTATGTCTTGCAGGGAAGTTAGCGAGTAGTAGCAGTGAACCATCCGTAAACTTGAGAGGCAGTAGCGTGTCCATCACATTTGCCTTGACTGTTGCTTGGTAACGGCTGGCATCTTTCTCTGAGCAGGAACTGGAGAAGAAATTTCAGCAAACGGCGGCCTACCGGAACCTGAAAGAGATGCTCACCAAGAAGAACGACCAAATCAAAGAGCTGCGGAGGCGGCTGGCGAGGTAGGCTGGGGTCCCGCGGCAGGGTGTCTGTCCCCGCCCGAGCTTGCGTGCCCCAGGGGCCGGCTGTGGGCAGGGGCGCTTCGGGTGCAGCAGAAGTCACCTTGTCCTGGGGCGTCACACCAGCTGCCCAAGTCTGTTGCTGCCCCGTCCTCTGGTCGCTGCCGTGAGGGCACCGTGCGGTCTGTTTTGGGTGGGGATGGCCCACAGTTGCTGGTGAGTCACTCGTCAGGCTGTGACCGTGGCCACCACGACCACCTCATCGTGATGCCGATTGTTACCCCCAGGTATGAATCTGAAGATTAGAAACAGAAGACGCCCTGGACACTGCCTCCCACCTCCGGTGTTCTGTCATACTCTTCCTCCTTACTCCTGCAGTATTTAGACTTTGCTTCCACATTTAGAACTTGACTTCCTAACCAGGCGTGGTGGCGCACGCCTGTAATTCCCTGTGGGGCAGAACTCGGGAGGCTGAGGCAGGAGGATCGCTGTGAGTTCCAGACCAGCCTGGGCTACATAGTTCCAGGTCAGTCTCAACTACACAGTGAGACCCTGTCTCAAAAACAAAACAAAACAGAACTCGAGTTCTGTTCTCAGTTGTCAGAAGAGAAGAAAAGGCAGCGGTCCCTGCCGTTGTCGCCAGCCCATCTCTGCCGCATCCATCCGTCTGTCTGTCCATCCGTCTGTCCGTCCTTCCATCCGGGGTAGTGAGGAATCTTAAGATACAGGGCACTTAGAGAGGGAAGGGTCTCTTTGCCATTAGAATAGAGAGAGTTAACAATACCTGTGCTTGTGCATTCCCCAGAGGTTAAAATAAATACTAGAGTGCTTGAAGATGCTTCCTACAAACCTTATTTTTCATGCTGAAGCCAGTGCCCCATTTGACGATTAAAAACTGTGAGTTCATTGAAAATGTGACTACTGTGGGTCACAGCAGCCTTTTCACCGGTTACCAGAAGTGAGCAGCAGGGAGGTGGGGATCGGGTCCCCTCCTCTGTCTCTCTGAGGAGCACGGTGCTGGCCGCCTGTGGCGGGAAGCCCAGACCCACTGGCTCTTCTCCGTTTCGGAAGCGTCTGGACTTCTTTACACCTGTCCCCAGAGCACGCTTTTCCAGCTAAGCAAGAACTCTTCTCAAACTTACTAAACTTTTAAACTTCCACTTGAGCTCGGAGATGGTTGGAAATGGGGCTGTTTGGTGCAGTAATTAGGCCTAAGGTTGAAGAAACAAAGCTGAACTCACTGTGCCTCGAGGGCAGAACTCTCCCTTCTCCCTGGCTGACATCTGGTCATTTTTCACACTTCGGAGCAAGTGCATCGCGGCCCACCCAAAGCCCAAGGGAAGTCGCTCACTCCCTACCTAGATCTTCCCAAAGCGTTTCCTGAACAAAGCGTAAGTCCCGTTTTTACTCAGGTTTTTAATACGAAGGTTGAGCGCGTTACGTTTCTGATGGGTTGCACGGTAAACTGGAAGGAGCAGTGATAAAACATGAATCCAGCGAGAGGCCAGCGCTGTCCACCTGCCGTTCCTTGTCTGTCTCTGGTCACAGCGGTGCCGGGAGGCTCTGCCTCGGGTCTGGCTGGACCCCGTGCCCACCTGAGGTCCCAGCCGTCCCTGCGGACCCGGTCCTCGGGGGCAGCGGGCAGGCGGGAAGCACCCTGGAGACCTGTACTCCGCAGGAGAAGGTCAGCTTGGTCTCAGCAGCAAGTTTGATGCCCTGTGGAGTGTGTGCTGCTTGTTTGATAGTAAATTCCGGAGTATGTCTGAAAACCTTGACCTCAGAGTTGAACGTGTTGCGTCGGCACAGATGACTCTCCTGAGCACTTGCGGTTCTGCCGTCCATTTCTAACTTGTCCCCTCAGCAAATGCCGTCTTCGATTCCTGTTTCCTCCCGTGGCTTCCTAGCTTCGGGGTTTCTCTCCGGGGGCTGACACGGGCCCCTGTGGTGTCTGCGGACTGCGCAGGGCTTCCTGTCACTCAGGAGTGAAGGCCCCGCTAGGTTCCGACTGAACAAAACGTACAGCTTTGTTCCGATCCCTTAACATTTGGGTGTTTATTTTTCTCCTGTACCGTTTCATTTTGAGGCTGTGTTAAATGTTTAAAAGATCGTTTGCTTCCGTCTATAAAACTCAGCAGTGCCCTACATTAAACGTGATTCTCTTTGAGAAAGCTTGGCGCCGTTGCCTCCGATCTCTAACTGAAAAGGACTCGGGTGTCTGCTTTGCAGGGCCTGGTGCTCTAGAGACAACGTCGGGTCTCCGGGCTCCGGCGCACTCTCTGCTTGCGCTCCTGTGTCAATTCCTGTGTTCCGCAGTTCGTGCCCGGGCGGGACCTGGGTTACCCTTTCCGAGAGAAGAGCCAGGCCGCTCCTGTTCCTGTTTGGACGATGGTATTTACAGCTATTTGGACAACTACTTAAAACAATTCTCAGCACCACTCAGAAGAAAGTGTTGCGATATTTCCTGAGGGAAAAGTGACACCCAAAGAAAGCCTGCAACCTCGCCTTGGAGGGGACCCTGCATCGTGCACCCCAGGTCACCAGCTCCCCAGCAAGAATGAACAGAGCTGTGAAGTTCTCCCATGTGTGCAGTGTGGCTTCCTCTCCTACAGGTTAATAAACCCCTGCAGTTAGACAAAGCGGAATTGAGTATGAGCATCCTTTAGAAATGTTAAAAGTAACAACAGACCTACTCTAAGATTAACGGCATATGAATGGATTTTCATGATCTCTTGGAAAAGAAACGTAAGTTCTGGAGGCCGGCAGGGCTCCCCGTGTAAGAAATAGCAGGCCCAACCCGTCTGTTCATCGTCGTCGTGTTTGCGAGGCAGGTGGAGAAACCACTGGGCTACATCCCCAGCCCAACCCTCACTTGTCTTTTAAAAGCATGAGAAGCCAGGCGTGGCGCATGCCTGTGATCCCAGCAGTTTGGGAGGCTGAGGCAGGAGAGTCACAAGTTCAAGTCCTGCCTGGGCAACTTGGTGAGACTCCATCTCAAAAATGACTGAATAGCAAAGCAGGCTCCGGATATAGCTCAGGGTGAAGGCCCTGGGTTCAAACTGGAGAGAGAAAGCCACAGCGGACTAAACCAGGACTCCAGGCGGGGCAGGGGCCTGGCCAAACCTCATGACAATCTCACTGACAAGTCCAAGTCCGGTTCTCCAAGATGCAGCCTGCAGGGTTTGTACGCAGATCGTTTCTCAGGGAAGGAAGTCCTGCCCGGACCTGTGCTCCTGTTCCTGCCCTCAGCCCATGCCTGTCCGGAGCTTTGGTGCCTCAGTTTACCCCACCGAGCTCACCGGCACCACGTACCATGCAGGGGTCCTCCTGGTCCCGCTGTGTTCGTGATACTGCCCCCAAGTCGGAGATGGCTTTGGTTCGGAGTCACGGGCACCAAGGAGTTGGAGAGGAGAAAGGGCCAGAGCAGAGTGAGGAGGCTGGGGTGTCCTCCCGCCTGGTTTGTGGAGCGGGGGCCCTGGGATGGTGACCCCAGCACCAGGCAGGTCTGCTCCTGTGCAAGCGAGGAGAGGGGTGCAGGTGGTCCCATCAGGCCTGGGCGGACAGGGACAGAGGCAGATGGCCCTAGCATGCTTGCTAATTTGGGGCAAGGGGGGTTAGGGTCTTACTACATATTTCAGGCTGGCCTTGAACTCACAGTGACTCTCCTGCCTCAGCCTCCCAAGTACTGAAATTATAGGCGTGCACCACCATGCCCAGCTTCTAGCACCCTTTCAATACTCATTCGTCATCAAGAGTCTGTTCAATGGAGGAGAAATCACAAGCCCTGCTCAGCATTTCAGGCTGCAGCCTCACACGGCCAAGCCACAGCTACCTCTAACTAGTAGACGTCAAAAGCAGCCCTGCACCAGTTCATCTGACGGCTCAGACCCAGGGCGCATGCTTGTTCCAGCGTTCATGAGTTTGACCTTCCACCCAAGTCTGCTCCTCATTACCAGGTGAGTGGCGGTGGTAATAAGTAATAAGTAAGCACCACTGGGCTCGCTCTGCTGCACTCCACCGTCGGTCTTTGCTGGTTTCCCCGCTTCCTGTGCTGCGTGGCGGAAAGACCATTCCTCTTCCGGCTCTCAGCAGTGTCTTCCAGCCCCAAGTGGCCCAGAGCCCTGGTTCCGGATCGAGAGGCCGAGCCCTTCCTTCTGTCTTTCTTGGGCTGGGATTTCCAGCCCAGCGTCAGAAGCAGTAGCAGAGGACGTTCAGGCCTTGCCCCGTATCTGGGGAACCCTAAATACTTTAACCATGAGAACGATGCTTGCAATCTTTGGTACCAGATTCAGGCAGCTCTTTTCTATTCCTAGTTCACTAATAGTTTCTATAAAAATGTTAAATGGATTGGCATGCACCTGTAGCTCCAGCCATGAGGGAGGCGGAGAGTTTCAGGCCGGGCCTGGCCACACGGTGCGACCCCGTCTTGTGTGATGGAGTTGAATTTGTCCAGGGCCTCGTCGGCCTCTGTGCACTGTGAATACCACTGTGTCGCTTGCTCTGCTCCTGCACTATGTGCGCTGGCTGCTGGCTGTTGGTCAGGATGCCTTCTGACCGGAGCATGAGGGCACCGGGGCTCCGAGGGGTTCTGAGGAGCTCAGGGCAGGCCGTGGTGCAGACTCGGCTGCTCCGCCTGGAGCCCTGGCAGCACCTGTGACCCTCGGCCTGTCCAACGCGCCGTCGGCAGGGGGAGGGCCTGGAAGGTTTGTCCTACTCTGCCTCCCACTGTCCGTGTGCTCAGTGGCCTCTGGACCTAAGGGCAGCTGCCAGGACCTTCACCATGGCCTTGGCCCGGCCGTGGCTGCTGCTGGGCTTAGTAATCACCGCTTGGGAAGGCAGGACAGGGCTGGGCGCTGGAGGTGGCGGGCAGTGACCCTGCCTCCAGGGCCGCCCTGCCCAGGTTCACCCTCCCACCCAGGGCCACACGCTGCCACCCAGGCTGCAGGGTCAGTGCCAGGGCTGGCCGGTGTTTGACATTAGAAAGTCTCCCCTGCAGGGCTCCTGTCACCCAGAGCCAGCCAGGGCCTGACCCAGGACAGTCTGAGGCCGTCTCTTTTTGTGTCCCATCAATGGTCACAAGAGACTCTTGGTCTTATATAACATCTTCTGTGAAAGCCTCCCACAGGGTTTCTAAGCCCATAAATGATTAACCTTTGTGTGTGTGTGAGACAGGCTCTCACTCTGCAGCCCAGGCTGACCTCAAACTCGCAGGGATCCTCCCGCCTCAGCCTCCCAAGTGCTGGGATGACAGGTGTGCGCCACCACATCTGGCTGACCTGTTTAAAAAGTTTGATCCCTGATCATATTCCATGAAGGCTTTAAGTACTTTGACGAGTGATTACTCCACCTCCTAAGTCAAATCCACCCCCAGATGAGCCCAGGTTAAAGGAAAGGACAGGTAGACAGGGGCGAGCCGGATTGGAGGATGGGAAAAGAGCAGCCCCAGGTCACCCAGGACATGGCTTCTGTGACCAGGCATATGCGGGTGGGGACCCTCATCAGCACCACCACGGGCCCTGGTTTTGTATCCCCTGCGCCTGTGTTCTGCCCTTCTCACCCCAGCTTTGGGCCCCTAACTCGGTAAGGGTGGAGCCGATTCCCGGGAGAGTCCCGCCCCGGTCCTGCAGCTCGGACTCTCACTCGCAGCGATCCTTGCACTGTGGCCTCCTGACTCCCACAGCCACATTCTCCCTTGCTGAGGCCTGGGTCACACCGAGCAGGCACCACTTCCGGGCACTGCCCGAAGGGCTGGCGGATGCAGTCAGGGCGTGGCGGCCGCAGACCCCGAGTCCTTCCGCTGAGCTCAGCTCGGCCTGCTCTGGGGGTCTCGGGGCGGAGCCCACAGCTGACCCGCACATCCCGCGGCCGCAGGACTCTGCCGCCCGCACCCTTCTCCTGGTGAGGACCCGCTCGTGCGTGTGACGGGAATACTTACTTCAGAATTCTTCAGCCAGTGCTCACTGGATGTTGGCTTCTCGAGGAAAACCAGCTAGGAGCTAGGCTTGGCGCCAGTGGGCGGCAGGCGCTGGTATTTGAAACACTTCGTGAGCAGAATGACCCTGTGTGTCATTAATACGCAGTAATAAGTAAATCTCTAATTCCATGCTATAACATCACTGTCACTGGCGGCTTGTGACAAAAGAAACTTATTCTCTGCCAGTCCTGAGGGCCAGGAGAGCTAAGTCAGGGTGTTGGCAGAGTGAGTTCCTTCCGCAGGCTCTGACGGATGTTCGTGTGCTCCCTGCCTGCCTCTTGGCTCCTGGTGGTTGCTGGCGCTCCTGCCATTGTGTGGCTTGTAGCACATCCAGTCTGTCTCCAGCTTCCCATCAGGGTCTTTTCTCCTCTGTCTCATGTTGTCTTCTCCCTGTTGCTGGATCTCATGCCCTCCCTAACCCGGGCTGCTCTCATCTTGAGGTCTTTACCTCCACCCGCACAGACCCTCTTCCCGATCAGGTCGAATCCCTGGAGTGGGCGTCCTGCCCTTTGAGCACCGCCATCCACGCCGCTATGGGATGTTAGAAGAAAGTGCTGGAGCGGTGATGGCAGCAGAGCACAGTGAGGAGGACCAGGGCCGCTGGGTGCAGGGTGGGTGCAGCCCCAGCGGGAGGCTCAGCATGGGCCTCACCCAGGAGGCCGTGCACGGAGGCCACAAGGGAGGCTGCAGCAAGGGCCTGCAGGGTGGGGTCACTGGCCCAGGACAGCGACTGTCTGATGGGGCTTTGTGGTTTCCTGAGACCAGGGCTGGCCTGGTGGGGGTCAACAGGAAGTAATAAGATGGGGAGGCTGCCGGATCATGTAGGTTTAGACCCCTCTGGGGGAGAAGGAGACTCCGAGCAGGGACCCAGAGGAAGGGGCTGTGAGGAGCAGGGCTCCTGGCAGAGGGGGCCACAGTGCAAAGGCCCTGGGGCAGGAGCGAGCTAAAGAACAAAAGGAGGAGTAGAGAGTGGGCCCAGGGGACGTCTTAGAACAGCGTCCCCAGACCCTTACAGGCCACCATGAAGGCTTTATCTCCTAGGATGGCCTGGAGCTGCCACTCTGGGGTCTCGAGCAGAAGAGTGACTGCTTTGATTCCTGTTTGATAAAACTCAGCACCCGGGCCTGGATGCCGATCCCCAGTAGGTGGGAAAATCAGCCACACTCTCCCAAGTCTCCACAGCCCACGGCAGAAGTGCACAGCATTTTGTACTGAAAGTTCCCAAATTCCTAGGATTCCTAAAATTGGTGGTCTCTGCACAATGAGTGAGCACAATGCAGCCACGCAATGTCAGTGCCCCCCACAGCAGATGTGCCACAGAGGAGGCTACACTTTTTCTCAGCGTGTATGGAAAGGTAAAATCACACAGAAAAGCTGATGAATTATAAAAGTAACTGTAGGAGTTGAGAGTGTTTTTCTTTACTGTTTTTTATTTGTTTGTTTGTTGAGACAGGGTCTTCTCACTATGTAGTTCAGTCAGGTCTTGAACACATTGAACTCTTGACATAGCCCAGGCTGGCCTCAAACTCACAGTGACCCTCCTGCCTCAGTCTCCCCAGCGTAGGAATGATAGACACTTGCCACTGAGTCTGGCTTAAAAATTGCGATAGTATAATTTTGGATGAGGAACTGAAGAATGAGCGTGTGCTCTTGTTTCTTTATTTGCTTTTTGAGACAGGGTCTCACTATGTAGCCCAGGCTGGCCTTGAACTCACAGCGATCCTCCTGCCTCAGCCTCCCGAGTGCTGGGATTATAGGCGTGCGCCACCACACCCGAGTGTGCTCTTGAGTGCTGGAAAGTTTCTGTTTCTTAACTGAGTGGGGCACAGGGGCACTTGCTTTAGATTTGTAAACTACACACATCTGTGTACTCTTCACAGGCAGTAGGAGAAACCCTACAGAAATGGAACAAAACACAGCAGGCAGTGACACAAGTGTGACTTGGGGTAGGCTGTAGATTAGGAAGTGGGAACAACTCCACAGGAGGTTTCTAGGGACACAGCCGACAGAGCGCCGGGCACAAGGAGAGGGCTTGGGGCTTCTCAAGGTCGTCAGAAGAATGGGGGTGTTGTCCAGGTGACAGACTCCGCTCCAGAACTTTCCCTGTGGACTCTGAATGTGTTCCAGAGAAGGATTTTTTTTTTTTTTTTTAACCAGAGATCGAACTCAGGTCCTTGCGCTCATGAGGCAGGCGGTAGAAACACTGAGCTAAATCCCCAGCCCTAGAGAAGGATTTTTTAAAGGAAAAACCAGCAAGCTAAAAATGAGGGGCCGGGGGAGGCAGAGGGCCACAAGGGCTGAAAACACCACAGCTGCCCAGGCAGAAGGACGGGGCGCCCACGCTACAGCTACACACCTGGAACCTGTCGGGGAGACGTGTGCATCTGTGCTCCAAGCCCCAAGGACAGGCCTGGGGAGCAGCGGGTTTAAAAAGCCATGGTGCCCCTGAGCTGCTGGCGCATATACCCAGGAAGCTGATGGGGCTCCCCACGGCCTAGAACCGGGGGTTAAACCGAGGGCCCTCACGCTGAGTTACACCCCAGCCCCTTTTCATCTGAAACAAAATCTGATTTGCTAAGTTGCCTGGGCTGGGCTCCAGCTTTCAGTCCTCCTGCCTCAGCCTCCTAGAGTGCTCAGTGCCTCGCCTAATTTTTTTTTTTTTTAATCTTTTTAAAAATCCAGCCTTGGAGTCTCCGTTTCTCACAACTCCCCATGCTGCCCGTGGCACTCGGCCATAGCCCACATTTTGAGGATGAAGAGGTGAGAGAAACCAAATACCCTCTGAACCCTGGCACTCAGCACAAAGCCCTCTCCGGGCGGGAAGCAGGGAACAAGGCAGAACAGCCCAGCAGGCCCAGGCAGGCTCCCGGGGCCACAGATGGGGACCAGGGGCCCCCACGCACTCGCTGGCCTTGGGAAATATTTTCACAGGCCCCAGCTGCTTTCCTCCGCCGGACTATCCCTAGATTCCTGTTCCCAGCACAGATACGTGAGGGGAAGGCACGAGTTTAGCCAAGACCAACAGGAAGCGGGGCGGCCACCCCACGGCGAGGAGAAGCCCCGGGGTTTTGGTCCGAGCTCTGTTCTGCACCTGTTGGCGCTGACCCGAAAGACTTGCTGTCCCCTGGCCCCTAAACGTGACCACTTCGGATTGCTGCGAGCTCCCTGAAATCCGCGCCGCCAATCCGCGCCGCGTCTCCACACCGCATGCCCGGAGTTGGGTGCTTGCAGGAAAGGACTGGTGGCTGCGTTTCCTGTCCTCTACCGAGGCGCAGCAAGCCCAAGTGTCCCCGGTGGGTCCCGGGGAGGGGTGGATTCAAACATTTCGACCTGAACCCCGCCGCCAATCCGCGCCGCGTCTCCACACCGCATGCCCGGAGTTGGGTGCTTGCAGGAAAGGACTGGTGGCTGCGTTTCCTGTCCTCTACCGAGGCGCAGCAAGCCCAAGTGTCCCCGGTGGGTCCCGGGGGGAGGTGGATTCAAACATTTCGCTGGGCGTCTCCCCACACTGCTGGTGACACAGCCTTCAGGGTTTCTGCTGCTTCTAGCACCCTCTCCTCCTGCCAAGTCCTCTGGTGCCTGTGTGGCTGTCGCATCCCAGCGGATGCGGGGTGGCGAGTGGCCCTGGCCTGCAGCTGTGGCCGGGCCCTGGCCCTGGCCCTGGTCCTGCCCACTGTCTTCTCCCCCGTGGTCCTGCGCTCTGAGCCTCTGACAGACTCGCCTGCCAGGCGTCCTGTTGCTCCGCAGTGTTCAGGGGAGGTGCGGACCGCGCCCGCTCTGTGCAGAGGGCTGCGACACTGATTGTGCCCCAGGCAGGCTGTGAGGAGCTAAGCTCACAACTGGCTTGTTTTTTTGTTTTGTTTTTA